TTCCCGGCATGCCCCACCGCGGGGCCGCCCGCGGACTTTGCCATCGGCGGGGCCGCCGCCGGGATGCGCGCTCGGAGCCGCCGCCTCAGGTGGGTGAGTCCCGGGCCGGCCGCCGGGCTTCCGCGGGGAGGGGGCTTCCGCGGGCCGGGGCGGGCGCAGCCGGGGGAGCAGCGCCAGGGGAGGGCCGGGGGGCGGGGAGGGGGGGGAGGGGACGCGGGGCTGCCGCCTGGGGGAGGGGAGGCCACCGCTCTTTGTTCCCGCCGCGGCGAGTTGGGAAAGTGAGCTGGAGTCCTGGGCCTGCCGGGGTCCTTGCCTCCTGGGTGTCGTGTGGGCGCTCTGGGTGGCCGGGCACCCGGAGGTGGGTAGGGGCTTGGGTCTGTTTTAATTTCATCCTTGTGGGCTTAAAACCATGTAAACGGGAAGGAGGAAAGTAAGGGGGAGCGAGAGAAAGAGAGAGACCTCAGCAAGTTGTGAGGCAGGGAGCAGCAAAACTCCCTCTGAGTCGCGCAGGGAAGCACACACAAGAGAAGGGAAAGCGCACCCAGAACACCCACACTGACAAACACAGAGAAAGGCTGCGAAAATGCCGAGAAAGCGCACGCACACTCAGAAACACACCCAGAACGCACAGGAAGCTAAGGGGGTCTTGGGGGCTTGGGAGTTGGGGGAGGGGAAGGAGAGAAGCGCCCAGAAAGGGAGAGACTGAAGGGGAGGAGGAAGAGAGGTGCGTGGAGAAGTCAGAGACAGATAGGAATAGGAGGGAAGAACAAGGGATAAAGGAGGCAGGCAAGGAGGGACAGCGCAGAGAAACCACATATCTAGAGAAACGGAAGGAACACGCTGAGATTTACCTCCTCCCCAATATCAGCTCCCCCCCCCCATTAGATATACAGAGATGAAAGAGAAAGGCTTCCTTGTAACCAAATAAGCTCCAGGTGGGAGAGCAGCTCTGCAAAAGGCCTTCCTAGCACTTTAAACCAGCCAAATCTCCACTTTGCCTCCCTGGCAAACTCCTACTTATCCTTAAAAACCCAACTTAAGCATCACCATCCCTGTGAAGAAGGCTTTCCCAGCAAGTTACTCTGCTTTCTGGTTTCTGCACACGGCTTGAAGTGGTTTGTCTACCTGTCCTCCTTTCCCACCAGCTTCTTAATATTGGGGTCTGTGTTTTATTGATATCCAATCTCCAGAATCCAACCCTGTGCTTGGTGCATAGTGTATGGTCAATAAGTACTTATTGAATGACAACTGGGAGCATTTGGGTCCTCCAAGACATGGAGGAGAAAATTAAGTGCGAGTAGAGGACATGCACCATCCTGGCGTCATCAAGACTCCCAAGTAAGAGCACCATTTTTGCATGTGGCAAAATTATAGCCCAGAGAAGGGAAGACTGTTGCTCCGAGAGACACATGCAGTAGGTCTGCGGTGAAATCACATTGTGAATATGTACTTCTCTGAGATACCCTCGTTCCTCTGGTTTAAAATAGATGTGGAAGACAGACCCCCTGGCCTCTAGTTCCTCTCTCCAGAGGCAACTACTCTTATCAAGTTATATTTGCTATGTTTGTGCATGTACATGGGATCATACCCAAAGAAATAGTCTGTGTACACACAAGTCTATGCAAGTGCATGTATGCCTTTCATTCTTCTTTGTACACAGATAAAATAATTCTATTACAGAAATAGGTGCGAAAGAGCCTCCTGAGTGAAAATAGACAATAGGTAATGAACACTCTTACATCCCTTCTAAGTTTTCAGCACTGGAACTGACAATCAAAACCCTTTCCAGAATCTTAACGATCTTTCCTTCTTAGACAGGAATAGGAAGGTGAATGTTCATCTCAGTTTAAGTTGATGGCTTTTGTGTCCTGACTATGTAGTGGACACATTCATTAACCTCCCTGAACCTCAGTTTCCTCAACTGTGAAATGGGGCTATTAATGTCTGCCTCATAATATTGTGGTTGGAAGAGTTCAAAAAGTACCTGGCACAGAGTGGGTCCCGAGTAAAAACAGTCCCACCTTTGCCATTCTTTAGTGGGTGTTCTTTCACGCTCTAAAAAAAAAATAGATGTGAAAACAACATGTTTCCTTTTGTCCCAGGCTTAAAAAGCCATCCTAGTCCAGCTGGGGAGCAAACACTTTTAATAAAGGGGAATGGCACAAAATGTACCTTGGTTCTCTTCAGGCCCTTGAATTGCTGCAGGTGTCGTGGGGGAACCTAGTTCCTGCCACCACCTCCCCGCCCCCATTTGCCACTTCCAGCAGGTGAGACCCAGCTGTCCTACTCTCTTCCTTGGACTCTTCACCAGTTCTGCTGACGTTATGTTCTCTCAAACTTTAGCCTGCGAGGAGGATGTGAGCGGGCCTGAGTCAGGAGCCACGTGGAAGCATGGAGACCGTGGTGATCGTTGCCATAGGCGTGCTGGCCACCATCTTTCTGGCTTCATTTGCAGCCTTGGTGTTGGTTTGCAGGCAGCGCTACTGCCGGCCCCGAGACCTGCTACAGCGCTATGATTCCAAGTGAGTGGGCCCGTGGAGGGGAAGGAAGAGAGATAGTCTCTAACACAAGAAAAAGAAATAGTCATTTGGTGTTGGGCAACTCTCAGCTTTTTTTGTCTCTAAAGTGGTACCCACAGGCTCTCCTTCCCAGTAAAGACCTCAGAGCTTAAGAATGTTCCTTAAGCCTCCCAGCACCCTGGGAGCATCCATCACCTCTTTCTGTGTTTTCTGAGCCAATAAGAGAGTCACTGAACTTGTCCACCTAGTAGAAAGCACAGGCGTCTTTCCAAAACTGGCCACCTCACTTAGGAGTTGGACAAATCAATCTCTTTCCAATCAAACCCACGGGAACAGAAGTCAGATGCCCACACTCCAGCAAACCCTTGGTTTTGTGAATTCAGGAATCTGTTTTCAGTTTAGGGATGTTTTAACTGATAGATCCTTAAGAGACTGTGACCCCTCTATCTTAATCCTAACATCATCTCTGTCAAGTGGTTAATAACTTATCAATGCCCATTTATATGACACAAGAAAGCTCTGCTTTTGAAAAGAATGCAATGGCATCTCATGTTCTGAAGTACTCTCTTGTAAAGTTGGAGGTATTTTCACTTCTGCTTTTCTAAAACTAGGAGAGGGCAGGGACATGGGGGTGGACCAAGCTGGCTCTCAAGAGTGATTATGCAGACTAGGTAGGGAGAACAGGTTGGTTTGGGTAATAGGAATTGCACCATCTCTGATAAAGCATTAAAGGGAAAATAAGGTGGTTTTTTTGTTGTTGTTTTTTTGTTATGTCTAGTCAGGGTCTCACTCTAGCAGTCTGGAGTGTGGTGGTATGATTATGGTCACCAAAGCCTTGAGCTCCTGGGCTCAGGCAATCCTTCCACCTCAGCTTCCTGAGTAGCTGGGACTACAGGTGCACCACCACGCCCAGTTAATAAAAAAAAAATTTTTTTTGTAGTGATGAGGTTTCACTATGTTGCCTAGGCTGGCCTTGAGCTCCTGGGCTCAAGCAGTTTTCCTGCCTTGGCCACCACACCTGGCTGGAAAAAATGTTATAAAAGGACTTCATTTTGTCCCAGAGGAGTTCCCCTGTGTAATACATCTTTGTAGTTAGGTGGTTATACCCGATTCTTTCTCATGGAGGCTTATGTTTCTGTTTCACTTTTCTTCTGTTTTAGTACCCCTGGTCTGCCTCCTTGACTTGCTGTCTAGTCATGTGCCCTGCCCTTGACTGATCCCACTAGGCTTAGATTTGGATCCAGGACAAGCAGTCTCTGCTCTAACTTATTGATTCCCTTCATCCTTTCTGGGGGGTATGTAGGCCTCAATGAGGAGAGGCATTCACCTATCAGGAAATCCCTTAATGGGGGCCTTTTCTTCTAGGCCCATTGTGGACCTCATTGGTGCCATGGAGACCCAGTCTGAGCCCTCCGAGTTAGAACTGGATGATGTTGTCATCACCAACCCCCACATCGAGGCCATTCTGGAGAACGAAGACTGGATTGAAGATGCCTCGTAAGGCCTTGGGGACCGTTTGCTTTTCTTCAGCCCCTTGGGGATGGCACATGGGGCTTCTGGCAATTGGTGCCCTTTTCTGGCTTCCTTTGCCAGAGCGCTCAGCTGGGCATCCAGGATCACTGTATCTCTTGCCACTCTTTCCCCTGCCCTCAACGTGGGGGAAATCAGAATATGGCATGACAATGTTTATCCTTCCCTCCCTTCCCGCATTTTGTAGACCTGAACACTGGGGCCTATAGATGTGTGGCCAAGGTTGTTATAAAGTCACCCTGATGTGCTTGGGTGATCCTTGGTGTGCCCATCAACTTGACACTTGGGGTCCCAGGATGAAGCCTTTGACTTCAGTATCCCGCAGGGGTCTCTCCAACAGGAGACTCTACATTTTGAGAAGTGTATGCCACTTCATTTTCTTATTTACTCAGCCATCCATTCGCTGGGTACATGTTTATGGGGTGAAATGTGCAGGGTACTGGGTCAGACACTGAATATTAAAGTGGTTGGGGAGACAGAACTATACTAAGTACAGTAGCACAGAAGCTATTTGGGATCTCTATGCACAATGCAATAGGCATGGATGGGAGGCAATACCTGTGTTTACCTGGGCTGGAGGTTTGAGGTTTTCATGAAAGATGTCACAAAAGTGTAGGTACCTTTTGACTTGGGTCTTGAAGGTTGAGAAGGAGTTCACCAGACTGAGTATAAGGGGAAGGACATTGGGTACAGGGAACAGTGTATCAGAAGCTTGGATTTATAAAAAAGCATGACTTGATAGGCGCGCGGAATAGAGCTAGCTGGAAGAGCAGGGAGGGGCAAAGGAAGAGCAAGGAGGTGCTCCCTCATCAGCTCATGGGCTTGTTTGTTTTAATACCTGCGCTCAGGTGGTGTCCAGCTGAACCCACTGGTCAGTGCTAGGGGAGGAGCAGAGGTGGAGCTGGAGGGAGTGGGCCTCTCTGGATGAGTACTGATGACTTCTTCTTGTCTCCCCAGGGGTCTCATGTCCCACTGCATTGCCATCCTGAAGGTAATCCTCTTTGATGTCCCTGTGAAATAGAGCAGAGTCACTAAAAGCACAGCTGTGCATAGAGTCAGTGTTGAAAGGGACCTTATGGAAGGGCTACAAGACCTACAAGGGGTCTCTCCTTAGCCTGACACTTGGGGTTTCTGCTGTTTACTTCCATTCTTCCTCAGATGGGCTGTTTAACTTTAGGATTCTCAAGGCTGTTTCGAGGCCTTTATTTCATCTGGTCCTCTTAATACAATGACTGGTGGGAAAGACAGTCTGGGTAATCACTAGTCACTTTCACTGACCATGGAGAAAGCCTTGTGTATGCCTGAGACCATGGAACTGCCACAGGGAAACAGGCTTTGCTGGCTTCTGCCTGTACACTTTCTTCCATTAACAGCTCAGGCTTGTGCAGCGAGTAGCTGTCTGTGTTTGGATTTCTACCGCTGCCAAAGAGTCTTCATTGACTCTGTTGGGCTGTGACCGTAGTCAGCCAAATGAGACAATCAGTGTTTAAAAGTCCAAACCATGAATACTTCAACTTGAAGACATTTTTTTTTTTGTTGAATGTCTGAAATTTTGGAAAATTGCATCCAATTTGCATTTGGGGTAATTTAAAAAATAGTTTTAGCATTGGTTTGTCCATTCTTGCCTCAAAATATCCTACCTTATAGAGTAGTAATAGTGCTGAAATATATTTGGTCAATTGCAAATACTATCCATTTCTTTACTTCAGTAACCTGGGAAACCACACATTTATCTCTTTGTCTAGTACTTATTTAAGATTTCAAAAGAGCCAACTTGGTCTTTTCTTTAGTGTCATTCAGTACAAGATATTAAAAAGTCCTTTATCCCTACGTCTTTAGCTGTCTTTCCTGGGGATCAAAGAAATGCCTAGTAGGAAATCATCTCACAGTCCAGGCTTATGATTTAATTCTAAGAAGCTCTTTGGATATATAAATATGGCTATAGATATAGATATGGCTATAGATATAGATAAAAAGTTACAATGACTAGAGCAATAATGTAGATATGACTATAGATATAGATAAAAAGTTACAATGACTAGAGCAATAATGCCAACCAGGATGTGTCCTAGGCCTGGGTTTTGTCCCCTGCCCTCCCCTATTAGGAGAATAAATGGCACCTGTGGTGGGAGATAAATTAGCGGAAAGACTCTTACTAGATTGCGATCAGTGGTTCATCCTGGGGACCTTAGATCAAAGGAGAGGGCTTCTAACCCCCTCTCTTGGAATTTCAAAACCCTTTTTCTTTGTCACTTGCCCTTGAGTCCCAGTGGTAGGAGATTGGGTTGGGGGGAGACTGGGCTTACTCCTGGGGATGCGTGGAGAGGGGAAACAAGCTTTGGGGTGGCCAGCTCTGTGGATGCACGATGAAAAAGGCCATGTGTCTGAGTCTTGCCACTTCCCTGCCTTTTGTGAGGTTCTTTCATCATCATCTTGACAAACATGCCAATATATTACCCTAGGAAATTGTTGAAATAAGTGCCATTATTGGAGAATGTGCTTAAAGGAAACAGTTGCCCTTTGTCCAGCCCTGTTTCTGAGGGTGCCCCACTGGAGATATTATCCTTTTGGAAAAGTAAACCATGAGATGAAGGAATCGAAAAAGAAAGTAGGTTTTCCCCCTAAGCAAGAAGGTGAAATTGGAGCACATGATTTTTCTTAGACAGATTATTTCAGCTTAGACTTCTCTGAGCCGACACCCGCCTTTGGTTGGAGGTTCCTCCCCCTCCTTCTCTCCCAGCCATGCTTTTGACTTTTTCCTCTTTCCACCCCATTTCCTCTCATCTCTGTGTACTTCTCACTTCAATTCAGCCATTAGGTTAGGGGCCAGCTGTGATGGGTCCCAAGGCAGGGCCATGTTTGTCTTTTTGGGGTGGCAGAAGTTCTTGGGGGAGCCAGGCCAACCCTCATCTCTTTTCTCCCTGCTGCATTAGATTTGTCACACTCTGACAGAAAAGCTTGTTGCCATGACAATGGGCTCAGGGGCCAAGATGAAGACTTCAGCCAGTGTCAGCGACATCATTGTGGTGGCCAAGCGTATCAGTCCCAGGTGAGTAGTCGGCGGCCTTGAGGTCCCCACACTCCATGGGGAAAGAGACGAACCAGGAACTAAGGTAATCACAGGACCAGGCTCTTTTAAGAAACAGTGCATGGGCAACTTGGATTATTTGTGTCCCACACATTTACAGAGCTACCAGGAGGGTTTAGCTATTGAGACTTCTCAGCTAAGGTGGTTTCCCACCACCCCCACCTCTGGCATACACCTTCTGATAGGCCTTTGAGGAAGCTCCAGCAGATTCCTTGTCCCAACTAGTCAGGTTGCGGAGCCCTCGGTGGCTGCGTCCTCTGTCCCAGGCGCACACCAGTTGGGGCTGCTTTCCTCCCCTTGCCATGCCTTCCTCCCAAGCTTAGCTGTAGCTGGCAAGTGCATTTCCCACAGGTGCCCACACTTCTTTCTCCAGGGGCCTCCTGGCCATGCTCTAGTCCCAGCCCATACTTGAATTGGAGACTAGTTTGGGGGACCCGCTCTGGTAGTCGCTTACTGCTCATCTGCAGCCCTACCGTGGCCCGGCCAGCAGCCTCTAGTACTGGGTGGGAAGTGACAGCATTCAGACCTCCCAAATTCCAGTGTGTCTGCAAAATCCCATGTGGGAGGCAACCAGCAGGCTTGCAGTCAACAGCTACACCCCCTCATTTGGGCTTGATTTTGTGAAGAAAAATAAAAGCCCTTTTCTTAGCGCAAGGGACTGTACTAGGTGTGTGCTGCCATCTGGTGACTGGCATGTGGATGTGCCTGAGCCTGGCCATATCGAAGTCCTGGATGTTTTCTTTACCAGCCACCTGGCCCCTCTGCCAGGAGGGTGCCTCCCTATTCCTGGTGGAACAGTGGCACCCCCTGTGAATTCCAGGGGCCCACACTTCCTTTGTTGCCATGTCCTTGGGTAAATCACGAGAAACCAGCCCTTTCCCTGCTTCAAGATTAACCAAATGAGAATCACTAGCTTCCTGTGAGTTGACAACATGTGAGGTCCTCTGAGGAAGTTTACCACTTGGTCTACTTGAACTCTGTCCAGGAAGTTCAGTGAATTTGGAAAGTGGGAAGGAGACCATCAAGGGGAGAACTCAGCCCAGAACAGTTCTTGGCTTTCTGTGGAGTTGCCCCAGGTGGGTGTAGTAGCTACATGGTTTATGTCAGCCCAGGTTGGCCTGTAGCCCTAAGAACTCAGGCCCTAGGCAAGTACCAGACATCCCTTCTCCATTATTTTAGAGATTCTGCATTGTCACGTCTGCTAGATCCCTCAGCATGCTTTTTGTCACTTCGAAGAGTCACTCGGGGAGGCCAGACAGATTCCTGTGTGTTGGTTACAAGGCAGCATTTTCAGGAGACTGAGATTTCTGAGGGTGAGTGGAGCCTGGGTGAACAGAATCAGCAATGGTGCTAAGGTGAAGATGTGACGTTGCTCACTCACTAACCTGCCCCACAGAGCACCTTGGACTATTCTAGAACACTCCCTGCCATAATTCAGTCAGAGTCCTTGCTTCATCTTTCTGCTTTCACATTTCCTTCTGGCCATTTTTCTCCCCATTGTTTTTCCTGCTGCATTTATTCTGCATAGTGTGTTCATGGCATGTTAGTTTCAAGGAGTGCAGCTTCAGCTCCAGGCACTGCAGAGAAAGGGGCTGGCTGAGACAGGCGCCGAGGGCAGCTGCATCTCTGTGTTCCCTCACCAACTCTGTAGCCCTGAATAAGAATGTTTGAGGGCATCTTTTTTCAAGTGATTGTAGAACTCAGACAATACATCTTTATTTTTCCTTCCTATTCAGTGGTCTATGAGCAAAGATTTGGATCAAAACCTTGTGCCATATAAATCAGGATGAATTGTTCATTTTAAAAATTAACCATGAACTCTACCACATGGTAGAAGAAATGCAGTGGAGCCATTTGAACCCAAATTAAACTTGTGGCTGTGTATGTGTATGTGTGTGTGTGTTCTATATACCTTAGCTTAGCTTTATTTTTTTGCTGAAAATAAAAGTAATAAATGGTTGTAAAAGTTAAAATACTGCAGACATAGATTATCTGGAAAGTGAAGTACCCACTAGTTCCACCCCCTCCCCATTTCAGGAGGTAGCCACTATTAAATGGTGAGTGTTTTCCCCTCCTGCATTTCATGGCTTTTGTTTATTTTTATATAAATGGGATAGATCAAGCATTATATATTATTTCGTGATTTGCCTTTTTAATTTAGTAGTCATCTTGAACATCATTTCATATATGTGACCTTGCCCTTTTAAAATCCATTAGAATGGAAGCAAAACCAGAAAACAAAATATTCTCTAAACTGAATTGGAAGTCTTTCTGTTTAAGTGTCTGAGATTGCAGAAGCAATTAGAGAAAGAACTGTTAAAGACTGGGTCTGAGGCTGGGCTTGGTGGTTCAGCTTGTAATCCCAGCACTTTGGGAGACCAAGAAAAGTGGATTGCTTGAGCCCACGGGATTGAGACCAGCCCGGGCAACTTGTTGAGACCTCATCTCTACAATAAATAAAAAAAAAATTAGCCGGGTGTGGTAGTACACACCTGTAGTTCAGGTTTGGGTTACTTGGAAGAAAGAAAGATAGGAAGAGGGAGAATAGAGATAAGGAAAATGAAATACTGAAAACCTCTTGCCTCCCCCCAGGGTGGACGACGTTGTGAAATCAATGTACCCTCCATTGGACCCCAAGCTCCTGGATGCGCGGTGAGAGACATGGGGTGCTTGTCCGTCTTTGCATGATGGAGGGTCACCATTTTATCAGATTTCTGTGCTATTGGCCGGCTGCGTTGTTTAGAAAGGACAGTTTTGCTGGGTTCCCAAGTTTGCCCAGGCTATGGGTAACATTCACATCAGTGAGGCAACAGTGAGCTGAGCTGAGCCTATCTGGGCGAGAGGCCAGTACTCTTCTGAAACCCAGGAGAAGAGCCAGTCTTAGAGACATTTGAATCTCAAACATCTGGCCATGCAGTGTGCTAACTGTGCCTTCCCTCCTTCCCATTTCCCCCTTCTCTCCCTCTGATCTGTGAACTCCAGAAGCAGCCATGCCTTAGCTGTGAGTGCCATCCAGCGGGGCCATGGGATGGTGATGAGCAGGGCAGTGAGAGCAGAGGTGACACACCAGCCACGGCTGTGCTCATCTTCTACCAGGCAACCCTGGAAGCCCTTCTCTCATGAGCCTTCCCATAGAGTACAAAATGAATGTGGTTCTGGTACCAGATGTAAATCCACTTGAGAAAACCATTTTCTTCCCTGTCTCAGGTTTGTATGACTATTTCATAGACAAGTTGTGCAAGTAGCAGTGGGTCACGGAGCTTCAGCTTTGGCTTCTCTGCCCCACTCCTGCAGCTGCCCAACTTTGCCCATGGTTAATAATCTGGAGTATATTCCCAAACTCATCATGCACACTCACTATTTAAAATGTATTCTATAGTAGATCATTTAATATGGAGAGGGGGGAACTGCCTCCTCTGTTTTGGTTTTTAATTATTTTTTTGAGTTGGGTAAACCGGCCCCAGGCCTTATTGATTTGTAATCAATAAAAAATGCTCACGGTGAAGGTACATCTATCCTACCTTTAAGTGGGCAGCAGTTGAAGGTGTGCTCAACCGATTAACCAGATCCGAACTGTTCCATAAATCACTCTTCTGGGAGATGTGAATAGGCGTGCTGTGGAAAATGGCTTCCAAGGTCTTCAGTAAGTTTGTGAGACACAGCACATTATATTCTCTCCTTGGAGCATTGTCAGATGCTTCAAAGGCTCTGAGACAGGCTTCAGTTAACCTTTTTCACTTAGCCACCCCAAAATGTATTTGAGCATGGGACCATATTTAAATTAATACCCACCAACCTTCTAGGGAAGTGTGTCCAGTGTGGGAAACACTAGTCTAGCGTCTGTCTATTTGGGCCTGTGCAAAGTCCCTCATTTCCTGGGGAACCTGACCCTGTTGTTTTTTTCTAGGACGACTGCCTTGCTCCTGTCTGTCAGTCATCTGGTGCTGGTGACCAGGAATGCCTGCCATCTGACTGGGGGCCTGGACTGGATTGACCAGTCATTGTCAGCTGCTGAGGAACACTTGGAAGTCCTTCGAGAAGCAGCTCTGGCTTCTGAGCCAGATAAAGGCCTCTCAGGCCCTGAAGGCTTCCTGCAGGAGCAGTCAGCAATTTAGTGCCTGTAGGCCAGCAACTAGCCATGAAGGCCAGCCTGGGTGGCTCAGCTGAGCCTTCTGCTTTTTCCTGTAGAGTTAGTTGTTCTTCACAGCCAAGGAGTCCAGTTGTGGGTGCATAGTAAAGCAGGAGAGCCTCTGTTGCAATTGCAAATTGTGGCTGGTGAGTGGCAGTCTAACACCACAGTTAGAGGAGGTGCCATTCACCACCCATACAGAAGAGCGTTGAAAACTAGTGGCTTTTCAGCTTTATTTAGCTCACCTATTGTTTCTAAGAAAATTGAGCCACCTCCTAAGAAATCAAGAGGTTTCACATTAAAATCAGAATTTCTGGCTTCTCTTGAATAATCAGAAGGCCTGGCAATTCTGATTTGCATTTTCAGAAGAGGACAATCAATTAGAACTAGTAGGGATTGCCTCTTTTGGCAAGACCTGTACTCTTTCATGTGGCATGTTTCATTTATTTGTATTATATGCCTGGTCCCTGAGGAGTCTGAATCCCTCCTCCCTCTTGGGTTTGGGCTTGAAGCTGAGCACTACAAAGTTGATTATTTCCTTTTTATCATTATGCCTGCAATTTTTCCTAGCTACCATTAGGTGGATAGTAAATTTATACTTATGTTTTCCTCAAGCGTGTAGTTATTGAGTCAAATTCATATGTGTGGTGTATGGTGGGACATATTTATCTGATAATTGAGTTTGGAAGGAGAGAGTCTAAGAGTCCTGAGCATGCCATATGTGTATATATCTTTTTTTTTTTTTTTTTTGAGTTGGAGTCTCACTCTGTCACCCAGATTGGAGTGCAGTGGCG